CGACCCATTTCGACCATTCAAAGTTATCACGAACGCCAGCGATTTCGCTGTCGGTGCCGTCCTGCTACAGGACTTCGGCAAAGGGCTGCAACCCATCGTCTACGAATCACGCAAAATACAGCCACCCGATCACAACTACCCGGTCCACGACAAAGAAATGCTGGCCATCGTCCACACATTTCGTACATGGCACTGCTACCTCACGGGAGCCGACGTGACGATTCGAACCGACCACAAATCACTACAGTACATGCGCACGCAACCGACACTCAATCCGCGACAAATCCGGTGGTTGGACTACCTCGAGTCCAATTTTCGGTACACCATCACGTACAAGTAAGGCGCCAACAACATTGCTGACGCCCTAACCCGCCCATCCATGCAGGCAAATCGCCCACACCAGCCCGATGCTGACGGGACTATTCACCCATGGCTACAAGATCGACAGGTTTTTCAAGAATTGACACCAACGGGCCACTATGCAACACGGCAACTACCACCTAAAAGCCGGTACGAACCGGATTTGGGTACCCGCCTACCAGCCCTTACGGGAGTTGCTGACGCAGGAGGTACACGACTCCAACCTATCCGAGCATTTCGGCATCGACAAAACACTCAAGCTGCTGCAACGGAACTATTATTGGCCAGATTTGCTAAGTGACGTGCAGCGCTACGTGCGACATGCCCGACCTGCCAAGCAATGAAGTCGTCGCGACAAAGGCCGGCCAGACTGCTGCAACCCCTCGAGCCACCCGAACGAGCGTGGCAACGGGTGACGATGGATTTCGTGACGGGGCTTCCAGCTGGCACGAGTGGCAACAACTCGGTGATGGTCGACGTTGACCGACTGACGAAAATGACGCATTTCGCACCATGTCGCACGACGAACATAGCCGAAGATACTGCAAAACTCTTCATCTCCACCGTCGTACGCCTACACGGGTTACCTTCGGCGATCATCAGTGATCGAGATCCGAAATTCATGTTGAAGTTCTGGCAGAAGACGTGGGCACAGTACGGCACCTGCCTGCAGTTTTCGTCGTCATACCACCCGCAAACCGACGGACAGACAGAACGGACAAACCAAACCATGGAGCAGCTAATTCGCACCAACTGCCCGGACCTGAGCAAGTGGGAGGATTCGCTGCCAATGCTAGAGTTCGCGTACAACAACGCACCTTCGGCTACGACCAAACAGTCGGCCTTCTATCTTAATTACGGGATAGACCCCGTGGTACCCTTGTCAACGACCCTGGACAACCCGGTACCATGCTCGTGTTATAGACACAGTAGGCTCCAATGTGCCTAGAACCAAAGATAGAGTGCGCAATCAGATTTCCGCACAGCGGCTTTAAACGTTCATAGCGATCTGGTCACAGCTCAAATTGACCTCATTTAACTTGAATTTGGAGCGTCATAACGTCGCCTACAATAGGCAATTTAAATCGCACGATTTCATCAAGAATTGACGACACAGCGTCAGATTGAACGAACGCCACTATGGCAGCAACATAGTCTTAGGACACAATTACGAACCACTAGGAAGAGTTACGAGTTGGGAATGACTCCCAGCTCCTACAAACCCCAAGAGCCGAGGTACAGTGATGGGGAACAGTGCCACACTGCCCCCAACCAAGAAGGGTCTCGAAACTACCCTCCACAAGGGCCTACACCCATGGAAATGTTACACTACACATTGTAATGTAACAATCTTCAATATCTTGAGGTGTACCCTTTCCGCGAGCTTCGAAATCACTTGAAGCTTGCAACCAAGGCTCGGGTTCTTCATCACAAACTCATCCTCGAGTTCTTGATGGGTCTGCTGCACACACCTGCGACACGCCGATTCGACAAGCGACAAAATAGAAACCGCGCACGACAAAATAGAAACCGCGCGGGACACACAAAATGACCGCGTAATACGCGGCTAGCGATAACTCGCTATTGACTCGACACACACACTCGACATCATGACCCATTATTCACACATCATTATAAGCATGAAATATGTATTTATTTCATGCACACATACCACTCCATGCACACACGCATGCACGCACACGCACACGGACAACAAGCCGAGTGCAAACCGTAGGGTAGCACCAACAAACTCCCCCTCGGGTTGTTGGCCATAGAATTTGCTCCTCTCAGTTCAGAGCCATCCCGGCCAGCTTGCAACACTTCCAATGCTGCTGCTCCACCAGCCTCTTAGTCATCATGTCTGCCGGCTGCCCCGTCGTCTTCACGTAGCGCAGCTCAACTTCACCCGTGGCCACCATGCTCCTTGTCCAGTGCCACTTCACCCTCATGTGTTTGGTCAGGCCGTGTAACACAGGGTTCTTGGCTAGAGCTATGGCTCCCTGGCTGTCACAATAGAGAGGGGAAGGTCCTTGCTGCTCCTCCCCCAATTCAGCCAGCAAACGCCGCTGCCACACAATCTCCCTTACCGCACGGAAGAGTGCCATGTACTCGGACTCCACCGAGCTCAAAGCTTGATCAACCTGCTTCCACGTCAGCCTGCTTCGCCCATACATCCCAACCACGAGCCAACTGCCTCGTCACCGACCGCCATCCATAACTCGCCCTGCATCGGAGCCAATCATCGAGCCCGAAAAAATCATGAGCCATCGCTTTTGCCACCCGACGGGCATCAAGAGGATTGAATTCCTCGTACGCTGGAAGGATCGCACACCAACTGAGGATAGCTGGGTGCCCCTGGCCAACATCGAAAACCACCCTGCCCTGCAAGTATACCTGAGGAGCCGGGGATTCCGCGATATACACGCACTAGCGTAGCGGAGGGGGCTTCTTGAGGGGGGGGGGTGGGGGGGGTTGGGGGGGGGGGGGGGGGGTAGTGTAAGGAATTTTCTCTCCTTTCCTTACGGAGCCCTGCTACATCGTGTACAGCAACAGCCGTTGTTCGCCCGGTACTGCTAACGGGGCTTCGCCAACTTCGCGCGTACTGTTTTGCCAAACCACGCACTGCTGGCCCGGCCGTGTCGGCCTACGCTTCGGGACTAGCCCGAACCTCGCTGCCAACGTAGCACTAGCTAGCTCGCACGCTCCGCGTTACCGTTTGCATGTTTCGCGTATAAATGTTCGCTCATGCCTTCGCTCACATTTTGTACTCGTTTGACACCTTAGTGCAATCCTCGCTACCTCGATCCATTCCACCCGTAACACCGGTCCACCTACGACCCGTGAATAGTCATACTCTTGACGAGCACTTACACAAACTCTACTTTCTACCGTCGCAAAACTTGGCAGCGCGCGTCGCCCTTTCAATGCCAGTCACCCTAAGGACGCGTCACAATTGCGACATCGAGGGAGGATCGCGGTCACACACCGACCTGTGAGAATCGATCTCCCCCGAGCCAGATGTGTCGCGATCGTCTTCAGGTTTGACAGTTTGCGGGGTTAGAAGCGTGTTTCAAAGTTGTTAATGCAATATGTATGATTTGAGTGCGGTGACAGATCAATTTAAAGTGACATCGCGTTTGGTGACTTGTGTTGGGTCCTAGCGAACATTAACGAAAAAGGGAAACAAGCCACAGCGAAGTACTGTACACCCCAAACATCGATCTCCCGCAGGATCGGTGTTGCAATTGTGACGCGTCCTAACTGCGCAGTTGCGCGTAATGGTAACCCGGTTTTGGGCAAACTGTACAATTGCGCTCGTCCAGACGGCCACTGTAGATTGCATCTGCGGACCGAACAAAACATAGTCCGAAGGTGGTTCGCTAGGCTGGTCCACACTGGTCCGGCAGACCAGTCCAGGGCATTTCAGGATGACGATTTTCATCGGCGGACCAGCAAGGGGCGGACCCGCGGACCAACCGAAGTGAGACACGTCCTGATACCCGAGTTCCCAGCTCGGCAGTTCGTCTCGTAACGAAATGGGGGAGGGAAGCTCGTAGGGATTCCTACTGTTACGAGTGCAATTGAGTGAGCGAGCGAGAATTGCACTATCGAAGCAAGAGTACAATGAGCGAAGGCATGAGCGAAGAATATATAGCGAAACTACAGTGGTAACGGTAATGGACTGTGGTTGTCGCGCGACGGGACTGGGACTGAGGTTGGGGAAAATGTCGAAGCGGAGGCCCGGAGCGCGGGTTACCCGCCGAGCCGTGAGGTCGGGGTGCGACGTGCGAAGGTGGCGGGAGGATTGTCGATGCGAGGGTCGCGAGTGGTAGGTGTAAGGAAAAGGAATTTTCCTTACACCTACCTATCCATGCACAATTTCTTTTCTTCTTTCGATCATAGTACCTCGTGATTCCAATCGATCAAAGAGGTTTGATTTAGTCCGTTAGATCGTCCTCTCCCCAATGACGACGTCCATCGCCGTGCGACACACCCCACACGCGTCGCCGCCACTCGCTCAACGGCGTGCCGTATCCCGGCCGACGCGTGTCGTCGCTCTCTTTTCTAGGCGAGAACTAGCCATCCGATGCCGCCACCAATCGCAGCAAAGCGTTTCATTGCGACGACCGGGTCCCGCGTCTAGGCGGTCCGTGCGGGCAGCGGCGGCGGCGGCGGAGGGGAAGGATGGGGAGGCGCAGCTGTCGGCGGAGGAGGCGGAGGAGGCGCAGGACCTGAGGGACATTCAGGACATCGTCGAGGTGATTCGCGCTCGCCTAGGCCGTTCACGACATTCGCGACATTCGCGACATTAGTGCCAGCTGCGAGCTCAGATATGGGCGGAGGTTAGGGTTGCGAGTGCAGGGTCTTGCCTAGTAGGGCCCTCAATCCAACTCTCCTTAGTGGACCCCTCCGCCGAGCCGCTCTCGCCTCCAACCGGCGCGTTCCGTGCTGCCCGTGCGTCTTGCCATTCCGGTCTCACCTTGGGGTCGCGCTTGCCGTTTTGAGCCGTGCGGTTCATTGCATGCCTCGAGCGCTACCTGCTGCACCATGCTTGCATCTGATTCGCCCATCCATTCCTCTCTGTGCGTGCGTGCGTGCGTGCGTGCGTGCGCGTGTGCGTGTGCGTGCTGACGTGGCAGACCATCGAGTTGCTCAAGGAGCGTCGCGACATGACGGTGCAGGAGGTGCGTTGCCTAGTCTCGCGACTCACATTGTGTCGCCGTCATTGTCCGTGTTTGTCCGCCCATGGCCGTAACTTCCTTCCTCGTCCGTCCGCACTCCTCATTGTCCGTCGTTCGCGCGCTCACATTTCACCGATCTCTCCGCCTTCCGCGCACCGGCTGGCGTCACGCGCCAATGAGCAGATCCGGCTGGTGCTGATGATCGAGGACCCAATTCACTCACTTCCCTGCGCGCCAATCTCCGCGCCAATCACCTCACTGCGCGCCAATCTCCGCAGATCCGGCTGGTGCTGATGATCGAGGACCCGCGCGAGGCGGAGCAGCGGCGGCAGATGGGCATCGAGAACGAGAGCGGGTGCTCGCGCGACGAGATTGCTGATGCCTTCCGCGAGGTGTGTGGGGGGGATGGGGGGAAGGGGAGAGGTTGGGCCGGGGGTGAGGAGAGGTGGGGGAGTGTGTTGGGGGCGGGGGTTGGTTACTGAGGAAACTGTGGGGCTTTACGCTCCGATGCCTTTCGAGGAGGGGCTGCGGTGAAGAGAAGTGGTGGGGGCGGGGTGTGGGAAGAGGGCGGAGAGAGGTGAGGGGGTGGGGGCTGGTTGGTGAGGAGAGTGTGAGGGGGGTGCACGCATGCACAACGCTCGTATTCTGCTCGTCAAGTCCCCACCCCTGCCCGCTCCGCTCCATCCTTTGCCATGCAAGTGTGCACACCGCGCGTCATCCTCCACCCTCAACCCCTCGTGCACACCTTCGTGCCCTTTCCCCTCTCCCCCCCCCCGTCTCCTCCGTGCCCCCCATTCACCCCTGCCCTCTCCGCTCCATCCTTTGCCACGCAAGTGCGTCGTCCTCCACCTTAACCGCTCGTGCTTCGTGCCCTTTCCCCCTCTCCCCTCCCCCTCCCCTCCGTGGCCCCCATCCATGCCATGGGTGTGCGGCAGGTGTGTGCCTGCGGACCGCATGGTGCTGCGCAAGCTGGCTTTGAGACGTTTCCCCCCCTCCCCCTCCTCCCTCTACCCCCCCCTCCCCCCCCCCCCGCCCCCCCCCAACCCACCCCTCCCCCCCAGGTGTGTGAGGACCGCGTACCCGCAGACCGCATGGTGCTGCGCAAGCTGGCGCAGGACATGCGCGACTGGCCGCGCCTACGGGTGAGTGGGGGTGGGTGGGGAAGAGGGGACTAGGGGACTGAGGGGTGATGGGGTAGGTGATGATTACGCAGGGCAGGACATCCGCGATTGGCCGCGCCTAAGGGTGAGCGATGGGGAGGTAGAGGGATACAGGGCATATGGAAGGGTTAAGAGGCGATAGGGGGAGCATGGTGGCAAGGGTTCAGAAGGGTGAGGTCTAACAAGCAAGAGGTGGATTTTTCTCCTCTGTCTTGTGTCGCCACTTCCCCCATAGTTCCCTCCCACCTGTCTCCCCCACGCTTCTCCCCTAACCCTCTCTCCCACCCCTCCCCCACAACCTTCTCCCTTGCGCCTCTCACTATCCCCTCTTCCGTCTCCAACACCACTCTCCATCACCTTCTCCTCACCTCACCCCTCTTCACGCCACTGTGCCAGGAGGAGCCAGGCGTGGAGGAGGAGGCAGAGGGACCCGGAGGGCAGCGCAAGTCGCGGTACGCGCAGATCACGGACGTGGGGCTGTAGGGCCGCCCCGACCGTGGAGCACAGGCCAGCCCTGCCATCATGTGTGAGTGTCGGCTTGGCACCTTGTTGCGAGGATGAACTGGGGAATGGGCCTGGCGTCGAGCTGCTCACGCTACAGACACCGCACTTCCTCACGGGCCTGCTGTCCGCTCTTGCCCAGGTCTTAAGTTTGTCACCTCGTGGGCAACGCAAGTCCCTGTACGTGTAGATCACGGACATGGGGCCGGCCTGTAGGGCGGCCAGCAGCGGCCAGCACAGTAAGGCCAGGCTGGCACCTTGGCCGGGTCACTCAGCGGGCAGCGCAAGTGGCTGGAGGGCAGCAGCTGGCACTGCCCAGCCATCTTCGCATGCCGTCACGTGTGAGTGCCAGCCTGGGCGCGTCTGCCCCATCTTCGGGCAAGGCAGGGGCACGAGGGGTAGTGTGGGTGGGTCAGGTAGGGACAGGACGTGCAGCGGGCAGGCTGGCTGCAGCAGGAGCCACTGCCCATGCTTGCCGCGAGTGATTGGCGCGATGGACGTGAGGGGTGTGTGGGGTGTGGCAAGGCCGGGCAGCAGGTTACCAGCCCGGGGAGCTGCCTCATGGCGTGTGGACTGCACCGAGAGCAGCTTCGCAAGGGCAGTGGGGCCACGGGTGTGCAGCTGTGCGGGGATGCACGACAGGGCTAACATCTGCCAGCCTGTTGGCCTTGGCGTGGAGCACGTTGCCGCACCTCTGCTGGCCGAATCTGCTGAGTGGCTTAGCCTGGAAACTCTAGCCAGTTGCAGTGGGAAGGGGAAACGCTCAGCCTGAAAAGAGTTGGATCGAGTCTGTAGTCCGGTTGATGTTGCAGCGCGAAGAATTCAGGTCTGTGGGGTGGTTGGCATACAGGCGCTTTCCTTAACTGCTGCCTCACCTGTCGCCTACCCGGTGGGTTTAGCGGCACCCTGGTAATCGTTCCTAGTCACGGGGCAGCGGATGGGGTGGTGGCTCACCCACGACTTGCCTGTCATCCGCTCGCGCAGCACACATCCACCCAAGGGGATCCGTGCTGCTTGGAGTGCATCGGGAACTTTTTCGTTCCTTCGAAGTTGGCACCATTACTGCTGTTGGCGCTCCATACGCGTATCGCCCCATGATCGCATCACCCCATCATCGCATCACCCCATCATCGCATCACCCCATCATCTCATCACCCCATCATCTCATCACCCCATCATCTCATTGCCCCATGACCCCTTCAGCCCATGACCCCTTCAGTCCATGACCCCTTCAGCCCGTGACCCCTTCAGCCCGTGACCCCTTCAGCCCATGAACCCATGACTTATGGCATGGCTATGAGCGAAGGTCCTCTGAGCAAGGACTCTCAAGATTCTCACCACTCACAACCCCCTCAACAAGCCCCGCGTGCAGGTGGATGGGGGCAGAGGGTGTGCCATCCACAAAGCCAAGGAGCATGGGCACCCCATCATCATCCATCTACACAGCCTTTTTCCCTTGAATCCCAACAGCCTTTAATTCGCAATGGCAAGGCCGATATTGTCATCGGTGTCATTGTGAGCAGGGGCCTGTGAAAGTGGCTCAATTCTTTTTAACTGGGTGCCTTTCCAGCGTGTGCGCCGCCACGTTTGGCCCTTCATCTTCCTTGCCTTCCCTGCCCTTCCATGCACTGTCTGCCCGCCCTGCCTCAACCCTCCCTATTTGACAGGCGGGAAGCCAAGCTCACGACTCGCACAGTCGTGTCTCTCCTGGCATGAGGTGGTTTTTCCGGAACTGTGCTGTGTCTCGTCGGTGTCTCCACCATCTTCCACTGCGCCTTCCCACCAGCTGCTTAGTCAACTCTGAGCTGACCTTGCTTCTGAACAGCACTCCCGCTGCCTCCCAAGGGCGGCAGCACGAAACACGTTCCGTTTGTGGCAGGCATGTCACCATTTGGCATCATGAAACCGTTTTCAATATTGCTGCTGCTGATCTTAGTTCCCTTGCTTGTAGCTTGGTGTCTATATTTTTCCCAAGTGGTGGTCCCATATGCCAAGGTACCTTTGCGTGCTCATGTCCCTTTCGCTCAGACAGCACCATCATTAGTGCGAGATCTCTGTAGTAAAGATATGCACGTGCATGAAGAGCTCTCAGTACTACCGTAATGCTGCAGACAGCTCTATGGTAGTAGTATTCCTCCCTGCAATGTAATCCAACTTGCAGTGCGATTGTGTGTTGTGTTGCCACGCTAACTCAGTTTCATTCTATCCATCCAGGCCTGACACAGGGAGGGGAAGACCCAGCAAACATTCTCGCAAGCGCAAACCTACTTCCATCCATCCCTAGCTAGTTCAAATTCTGCACCATTGTTGAACCATGGTACAGAACACAACCGACGCTGGAGCGGTAGTTCTCTGGAGGAGGTTCTATGGCTCTGACGAATGGTTCACTGGAGTGAGGTAAAATTGAATGAAACCACCAGTGCACTAGCAGGCCTTGTGCTGTACACTCCATAGAATCAGGGAGCCAAACCTTATTTGGTTAGTGAGAGGAAATGCGTTATCCTTCAAAAAAATGGAAGAGGTATTATACATCTTCAACGTATATGTATGTATGTCTATTTCGAATCAGCAATCTGGTTCTTGAGGTCGTTGATGAGAGTAGCCAGTTCCTTCCGGCTCGCCTGCCATACCATAACACAGACGAATTGAGCGGAGACGCTAACAACATACAGATAACACCAACGGCAAGCTATAGCAGAATGATGAACGTTCAAATTTCACTGTAGGAAAGCTCACCTCGAATAGGAGGTAGCGGTAGACGAACCAGCCACCATAGATAGTGCCGACCAGCTTCAGAAAATCCGGGACCTGGCATTAAGAAAAACAGAAAAATTGGATTCAGTGTAAGATCGATCAGGGAGCGCGCGTGAAATGGAACGAGCGAGAGCTTACCAGAGGCAGCGAGTCAATGGCCCCCATGACTGCGCTGGTGATCCACAAGGCGAGCACGGCGCCGCCCGTGTAGAGCAGCACGGTGGGCTTGTTCTCCACGGTGTCCCACTGCACGGACGAATTACAATCATTATGCAACGTCGCTTCAATCGAAATCTCGACGAATGAAATATCGACGAATGCAAGTTGAAATCTTTATGCACGGGGTCTTATGTACCTTGGCCTTCACCCCCGAGAACGCCTCGAGAATCTGCTTCTGGGTTCCACCGAGCTCCTCAGACGACGACGCGCGGACAGAAAACTTCTCGGCGCGGACGGCTGCGAGGTGAGCAAAATCGGGATGTTAGACAGGTACGCAATGACAGCATGGTCGTGCCTCAGCAGCGGCTATGTACCTCTGGCAGCCGGAGAAACACGGAGAGTGGCTCCCATGAATCCGCTCCTCACGGATACATTCCTGCTAGAGGAGGAGGCCTGGCAGGTGATGGCGGTAGAGGAGGCAGCCGCGACGGTAGCAACGGCGGAGGCCATGGCTGCAGTGAGAAACGTAGGTGATAGGCTGGTGTGGAGAAAGGATGCAGGAGTTCGAAATCTTGCACGCTGTCACAGCAAGACCAAGAGGCGCGTGGGTCGTGGCGAAAGTTTGGGAGGGTATGGCAACGATGCGCTAAATTGGCTGTGCGTGCTGACATGGCGGTGAACACCAATCAAGAATCCCCTGACAAATGCAGAAGATCTGCGTTCACCAGTCACGATTGCGAAACATTTCATCGAAAGGACGCAGCCCACTACGCTTCGACTCGACACAGTTTTAGAACTCATAACAAATAATATTATTCGATTTCTGTTATATCTTTATTCTTCCTAGGCTAGTAAGAATGTGTGTGCCCTAAAAGCAATTTGAAGTTACAAATAAAATTTACAGTAAAATGCACGCACTAATATACATACCCTAAAAAAGGTTACGATAAGGAAATGATTACGCATTAATGTACGTAATAAGAACAGACACTACCGTCTCTCCTCGAATATAGCTTTGCTCATAGGCTAGGGAGCCATGGCTAAGGTTTGAGACTTAGGAGCTTGAAAATAGCGAGAAGGGAGATGGCCAAAAGAGGGTATTCACTAAGGAATGTCTACAAGATATGGGAAAGGAGGGGAGGTGCACCTGCAAAACAAGAATCATATAGCTACACTAGGATCAACTTTAGGCATGTATAAAAATGTAACAAATATATTTCAACACACCCCCTAGCTGCCTACAGTGAGAACCATGTGAAACAGCACCCCCTGAAGGGGTTCATGGAGGGTAGAGAGTGCGAGAGAGGAAAGGAGGAGGTGGGCGGCGGCTGAAGCTGCTAGCACTGGCAACTCGAGCAACTGGCTCACGGGCTACTGGGGTAACGGGCTCGTACGTCTGGAGCATCCCGCTCGTACGGCTAGAGCAACTGACCCAGGGGCGACTGGAGCAACGGTCCACTAGCGACTAGCGCTGCTGGCTTCACGACGGCCACCCCCCTCCAACCTCTCCAACCTCTCCCTACAACGACGAAGACGGCTGGAGGAGCAAACGTAGATAGGAGGAGGAGAGGTGAGAGGCAGCTGGAAGAGAGGAGATAGGAGGAGGCGGCTGGAGGAGAGGAGAGGAGAGGCGGTTGAAGCAAAAAACCACGCTCTCGCCACCCCCTGACCCCCTCAACCTCTCCCCCCCCCCCACTCACTGCTGCAGGCGCAGCAGGGAGAGGGAGGAGCAGGCGCGCGGCGTTGCAGGCAGCTGAAGGTTCACGGCGGCATCCCCCTCACGCCACCTCCCTCCCTGGCTGCCTCCCCCTCCACCTCCCCTCCCACAGTAGAAGCATAGCGGGAGGAGCTGGTGGGATGACGGGGGGGGGGGAGTGGGGAAGGGCAGCAGAGCCTGCGTGCGCTGCTGTGGGTGCGCGGGCCGGCGTGCGTGCTGCAGTAGGTGAGCGTGCGCTGTAGTAAGTGCGCTTCTGGCGTGTGCGTGCGCTGCTGCTGGCGAGCACACGCACTGCTGGTGGCGTGCACGTGCGCTACTGGTGGCGTGCGCGTGCGCTGCTCTGGCAGGACGG